GTGCCATTTAGACGACCATAACTTTATGCAATCTAGAGTGACGAGATTTCTTACAAACGCTTCATATTCACAATGAAATTTTGCTTTGGCTTTTATTTAGGCCTACTAATAGGTTATATAAGATAATTTTACAGCAAATCAAGGTTATTAAAATTAAGGTAATTAACTCTACATTTAGTAAAATAATAGATTATAGTTAATGCTGATCAAATAAAAATATAAAGAAAAGGCTTACCGTATAAAACGAATCTTTTTTCACTGGTTTTTTAAGGTCCATAGATCGCCGCATTTCACCTAAAGTACGCATCATTCTCCAACCTTTCTGAGTACTTTCATTTGTTTGGTTATCACTCGTTTCAGGCTTGTTAGGATGACAAGTGATGGCTTCTGAATCCTTAGGAAAAAGAAGATTGGATATTGGATTATAATAGGGAGGTAATTCGACCATCACAAAGGAACGAAGGAAGACGAGGTCCGCCTTACAAATGGGGGCCTCAAAGGTGGCACGAAAGTCTCCTGGCTTTGCGCCATCCGCCGAATTCACCAGAGCCGCCTTAATGATACCTAAAAATAAAAAGATAAGTAAAAAATGAAGTAAATAAATATGTTTCAGACTAAGAATCATACCAAGATTTTAATTTCTTTTTCCATAAGACCTTGCTACAGCTAAATATAAAGACCTGGAACTCAAATTTCTCTGAATCACATAGATTCATGATTAATTAATTATCCAGTATTCTTGAGGTTGCGTCCCATGCTAAATGATGTATATGCATAGGAAATATGGTTTAATAATATCTCTGATAATAATACTTTTGAGATACCTCGTCCTATCTCAAACTCGTAATCAGGTCATATCTCTAACAGTACAAATCAGATTCTTTCTGTAACTTGACACCAAGGCTTACCTCGGATTTTAGAGACGGTCTCAATTTTCGCCCCGATCATACGGCTGACCTCAAGAGCGCTTGTGAACATGCCACGGATGAATACCGTTTTTCTAAATACACGATAAGGTTCCCCCACCAGCTTCAGTTTCTTTACCACATCACAATGCGCAGATGTCTCTAAAATACTGCCTGTGCCAGTTACACGAAAAACGTCACCAATTGGACCAGAGTCACGCCAAGCAGATGGTGAGAAGGCAATCAAGCCAGTCTTGGGTGGAACTGCAGGTCCATAGAAGATCATATTGCAGGAGTCGTGATCCAGGGAATATTTAAGGAAACGGCGTCGGAGATTGTGCTCTTCCTGTAAAGAGACAGATAAAAATAACAAACCTATAAGGATATAAAATATGAAGGTATAAGCTCTTTCGATGGCAAAAAATGCAGTGATTAAAATCTTATGAATGTTAGCTAGTGTCATAGAGATTTAATATAAAACAAAAAGCGATATCGCATATGGCTTAAAATCATAATTTTTTGAGAAGACCTTAAAGCTGCGGTCATTGGCCACTTTTCTGAATTCCCTAAGTGTGAAGGCCATAGACCACTGATTATAGAACTTATAATTGGTTAAAAATATTTCAAGGCAATTTTAGTCGTAGAAATGAGTCGAGGGAATTGCATCGTCAATGAAAAAATAATTAATCAGGATAAAGGAAGATCATAGTAGAGGGAAGCGAGAAGAGATAAATGTTCAAAAATAAAGGACTTTAATTTTATCAGGGCACTGTTTATAAAAGTCGATAGGCAAATCAAATCTACATAATCTTTAGGTTTAACTACAGGAGAACTAAGCAAATTGATGAATAGATAAGATCCGACAGTTGACTGTATCTGTAAAGGAGGGAAATCATACATCATTTAAATCTACATTTCGTCTGAAAAGTTGGAAGAGATTAGTTAAGTGGCCTCAGAGGAAGCCGATAAATCACCATGTTGTAGATGTTGCTTTAGGCTAATCGTACCACGGTCCTGATTCATCCGTGACGAGTTTCCGTCTGTCATTTGGGAGATATCATTAGCGTGAAACTATTATTTGACCCAAGTTAACCAATACTAAGGCAAAAATCGCTCACACCAATATTCATATCTCCTACTTTTATAACATAATCTTGTATGATAGACAAGTGGATAAACGAGTCCATGATTTGGTTCGCTACTTCACGCTAATTCATGCGTGTGGATGTGGCCAAAAAGCTTTTCCTTAGCTAGATTATAGAAAGATTTGTTAGCAAGGAAATGTGCTCATCCCT